GGGGGGGGAGGAAAGGGTTAAAGAGTATCACCAGGAACTAATTTACAGAACCAGGGCTCCCCAGTATAGGGATTGTGCACTCTGGTGGCTCTGAAAGCAATGCGTTTTTAAGCACGCTCTCCGACCGCTGTGTACCCGCCTCACTTGTCTTGAACGATGTGCTGGCTACGAAGGCCTCTGCGATATCCCCGGCCCCTGGCTCACTGGCGCTGTTCACCTCTTGAGACAGGACGTCATTTGGCTCGGTCAAGGTCCCTTCGGCCGCCAAGGCGTCTGTCGTACCGCACGTCGGCACCGGAGAAGGGGAAGGTGTCTTCGAGACCTGACTGGGCCCGCGGGAGCGCTTATGTCCGCTCAGATGTCCCACACCGCCCTCGGCCTCGCCCAGCTCCTCCACGCACGGAGCGGCAAGCTCGCTGGGGACGTTGAGGGGGGCATGCGTGTTAGGCTGGGACTCGCACGATGTGACACTGCGCGAAGAGATGGACATAGAGGAGAATGTGGGTTGTGTGGAATTTGTGTGGGTGTATGTGTGCTGTGACAGGTTGGCTTTCAAATAATGGTAACAGTGGATATGAGAAAAAGAAAATCACACAGTAAAGAAAATGTGGGTAAGACAGTAGTTCAGCTAGGCAACAGGAAAGAAGAAAATTGAGTAAGACCGTGCTTTGGAAAATTCACATCGATTGTAAACGGTAAACAACGTCCATTGTACTTCTATACCGCATCACGTTGATGTCTTATCTTGGTAAAGAGTAGATCAGGTAACACGCTCAAATAATAATAATAACAATAATATATATATAATCAGAAGCATAAATATTCCTAATCTGAAAATGAATAAAAAGGATTGTTTTAATCCTAAAAAAATAATAAATCAATAAAAATGACTTTTGTTTGTCGGTCTTTAGTGATGTTTTTTTACTTGGTTCTTCTCCTCATAACCACGTAGTAAGACTACACTTCGAGATACTACAGAAACATTAAAAGATTTAGATCTATTGAGGTGAAACAGCCTCAGAAGATGAATCAAAGATTTTAATAAACTTACATATCGTAGGCATAATTGGAAAAAATATTCTGCCTTGCATGGAAGAGTAGAAAAACACATACTATATGGAGCTAAAACATAAAGTATGGAAGGCGCTACCAAGGCATTAGTATGTATACAACTCAAATAACTCTGAGGACCTCTTTTTTTTGATGTCGAAAAACAAAATAGATGTGTTGTGTATTTTCTTCAAATACATTTTTAAAGATGCTTCAGTGTTAAATTTATTTGCAATTAAACCTCTTCTAAAAACCTCTGTTTCAGCAATTCTATTTCCTTCACTGTTAGGCCAAGCTCATTTTCTACATAATTTTTAACGCTGCCATACTGGTTACATAGCAATTCAATCGCTCTCTCAAGATACGCCCGTCGAGCTGTGCAGAGAGCAGAAGCGGCATGGCACTCCATATTTAAGCCCTTCAAAGTATCAATGAATGGATGATCGGAATATGTGTTACTCGATAAGTATTCTTCATAGACTACTTCCAATGGGATATCCAAGAGAAGCATTATGAGTGCGGCAGTAAACCCCGTCCGGTCCCTACCAGCCTTGCAGTGAAACAACACCGCGTAATCCTTTTGTGCTTGAACAACTAAAATTCTGAAAAATGCCTTCCAGACAGATTTAAGATCTATAAAGTGTTCATATAAATGAAGCATATAACCTTCTGCATGTTCCTCAGTGAACTGAGGAACACCATCAGCTTTATTAAGCATGGGTACAGTCGCTGATATGGGTATCTTGTATATCAGAATACCTGGGATCATATATGAATGTTCTTTGCGCTCCTCAGGGCTTCGAAGGTCTATGATACATCCAATATTTAACGTATCACGCAAAAGACGGAAGTTGCTTTCGGTGGAGGGGACATTACCAAGATGATCACTGCGAAAGCACCGCCGCCACTTTATACGACAGCGCCCATCATTTGTTAGGTATCCACCTAAATCTCGAAAGTTCTTTGTTCCATCAATACAGATATGCCGTTCGATACACATTGATAAATAAGTATCTCTTTACTTTTGCTAGTGTAGGACTCATTTTATCATTGACAAGTTGTTAGATTTTGAGTAGGGAACAAGAAAAATTATTGTATCACATGTGCTATAAAATAAAAAATCAGTAAACAAAATCAGGTATATATATATGTATATATATATATATATATATATGTTAGTGTGTGTTCTAACATTTTTTGCTTTTGTTACTCTCGGATAACTTGCACACGCACATCATATGCGAAGAAATGAGGAAAGCGAACTAGATATCCATGAGTCGCCTATTTATTTCATTTACACCTGCGTACTTTTGCTTTATTGGTTGATCGTCCGAACGTGATTCACACAAGTCCATGAATTTAGGATAAAATTCTAGTACCCTTTAGAATTTCAAAAAATCCACACATACACTTAAAGCCATCGCTCCATAAAAAATGCACCTGCCTCTAGACACGACATGGCTGTCAGGGCACATACTGGATTCAGTAGGAGTTTACTATTTAGTACCACTAACATGTGAAATATGAACATAAATGCTTATAATCCAAGAAAAACAAGCGTTAATGTTGTAGATTCTCTACTCTTCATTTTCAAACGGAGACAAATTAAATAGTAGAGGTATACTTAACTATTTAAAAATGTTGATTTCTACAAAAAGTGATGAGAAATCATCAGAGAAAAGGCATATTTTGAGCTCATCCTACATGAATAGTGTATATGTATCCGAATTGAATTGGATTATCATTTTTTTTAAGTATCAAACTTTTCTGTCCGCTCGCATCCCATAACTCGCTTTCAGAGAAATAAAGAAAAAATACGTCATATTTGTAGCCTCAACGTCTAAATGTATTTAGAAATTCCTTGAAAACTTTTAATATCAATGACGCTTCTTCCTAATCATTACATATTTCTCTCAATCGCTTTCACGCCGAAGCAAGATTTATCACCAGTATTCAATGGTATGAAAGAATTATATAGACAATTACTACTATTATCCTTGAAAAAAAAAGCCCAAATTATGAATATACCTCTTCTTAAAAAACATATATTTTTTGTTATTGTAAACGTCGCCTCTCCATTTACCACTGATGTGAGTAATGTACTCACCACACGTCCACATTAAAGAAAAGCCGCTTCAGAGTAACTCAAAGGGTTTTATATGTGAATTTGCGTGCTTACCAGATGCACCAATATTCTCATACCCCCACCACCACCTCTATTCTCGCTCTAACCCTGCTTTTTCTTGCGATCATTCGAGGAAACGCTGTGACGCTTCAGAATAGCGTCGCGATAGCGAAGATGCTCTGGGGATATGTACTCTGGGTCGTAGTGGTTGTCTGCCGTTCCCATCTCCATCTGCACGTTGGCCCGTGGATGCCCCTTTTGTCTTTTCCATTGAGAGATCAATTTCTTAACCCCAAGGCGTGCGCCGATCCCGTACACCATAACTAATAAGATCGCGATCAGGGTGAAATAAGTGAGGATGGTGCGCGGGTCCGTGGCGAGGGCCTCGCCAATCTTGACCTCTCCGCCGAAAGGTGTAACAAGAAAGGTCCGGTTGTCCGTGGTGTTTACGCAGTGGAGATGGAGAAAGACGTCGTACAAACCGGGCTCCAACCTAGAATTGGGTGTAAAGCGGTATTCAAGTGTGACTGTTTCACCCGGTCTGACAACACGCGCATGACGCACCACCGAGAAGTTCTGAATCACCGTGTGCTTCTCGGGAAGCATAATATTCCCCGAAACGAGAAGGATGTGAAAGGTGTTGGTGGGGTCATAGTTATGGTACGCAATAAGAGATGTGGTCTTGGTGCCGACGTTTAAGGTGGGGAACTGTGGGGAACTGCTATCGGGAAAAATGGCCCGGCTAGCATACGCGCGTTCCGTCTCCATAGGTATGTTTTCATTGAAATTTACGCCACCTGGATTATTTTCCGTCGTTGCGGACTCCGATTTAACATTTTTAGCAGCATTTTTAAAGTCGTCTTTTACTGGTGGTACGACATCCTTGGCATACGCCCCTATATTAAATAATGACAATATTAAAAGAAAAGCCAACAGCGCCAAAGATCGGCTGGGCGGAGGCATCTCTTTAAAATTAACTTGGATCACGTTAGGCAAAAGCTATTGAATGCTGTGATAAATGTAAAAGCAAAATTTCATCATAATGGTTTAAACATAAAGTAAAGCAAAAACAATGGGGAAGAAATGGAATATATAAAGGCTTGAAGAAAAAGCAACTGAATCTCACTTCAATAGTATCCCAGTGCTCAGCATAGAGAAGTATTGCATTTTTGTATGGAACACTTTTAAATAAATATAAAGGAAGCACCTATTACTTCATGTTATCAATTTTAGATATAAAGCTTCCGCGCAGAAGAGTAGTGAAGTTGCAAATTTAAGCAACTTAACAAAATTCATTCCAAGTTCTCCACGCCGTCGGCAAAACCTAAGAGCACAAATCACTTTTGATATATGAGTACACGAAATATACCAAAAACAATGAGCAGAAAATGCACGAAAGGAGGAAAAGAAAGATTTGACGAAACCATGTCTGCTCAAATCACTAAAATGTATTATTTTTTTCACCCTGCATGCCTCGTTTCACAGCATCGTTAATGATCTTGTGTGTATGCAAATAACGCCAGGAACAACGATCGATGCAATTAACTTCATCTCTGGTTAGTTCATTCTGAGATAGATTCGTGCAACACAAATTGAAACACTCTTCCCTCAGTCCGCTCATCATCGTCTCGATACGGAGAGACTCTAGTTTTACCTGGTAATTCATAGTGTACGCTTTTCACCCCAAATATGAGTAAAAACTAGTAAAACTTAAAAATGTACTCACAATGTGGTGTGAATCACCTTCTCTCCTTTTCATATATAGTCAGACAAAAAAAAGGTAGAAGAAAATAAAGAAGAAAATGGGTCAACCCCAATATTTGCATTTACTTAAAAGAACATGAATGTTGCTTCGGAATAAAGGTACATAAAGAATATTTTTTGACTAAAGATCCCTGTGAACAACTAACGGCATTTATTCCAAAGTAATGGAATAATACGAATTTTTGCAACAATAAGAACCAAAGGAACTGTATCTCTGAGTAAATTAAATTCGTCCAGTAATATATATATACGTATATATCTGACGCTTAAGAATACGAGTTCCATGTAAAAAAAACTGTAACATATA